GGTGGGTCCAGCCGCTGGTGCCCACATGCCCGCCTGGCGGCGTCCGCCACCCTCCCGGGCGGTCGGTGTGGGACCCCTGGGGCTGGCCTAGGGCAGCCGTCCCTGGCCGCCGCGGCTGCGGTGGCCGCTCCTGGGAGCCCGGGCTGCCCGTTAGCATCGCCGTGCTCTGTGCCCGCGTCGCTGATGCAAAGGGAGGTGCGAAGGGCACGTGAACGCAAACCCGGACCCCAGATCTTAAGAGAGAGGGCTCCTCGAGCCTGCGGGCGCCGCCGCAGCCCGTGCCCAGCGCCCGCGGTGGCCCAGCGGCGGGGACTTGGGTGTCCGCCGGCCCCCTCCCTCTGGGGCGTCTGGCCTCATCTGCCGCTCCCCACTTCTCCGGCTCTCGTCCCCTCACCTCGGCCACCGCGGGCTGGAAGGGCGGCCCTCACGGTGCCGCTGGCCCCGGTTGGGGGGTGGTCATCGCAACCCCCGCCCTCACGGTGACCGGGCCGCCCAGCCTCGCCTCCGGGGCCTGAGTCAGGACCGAGCGCCCCCTCCTGTGAGGGCCGTGGAGGCCCCGCGGTGCCCCGGCGCCCCGTCTCGGCTGTTCCCTTGGTTCTGGGCATCGGTGCTGGTCGCCCGGGACAGTAACGGCCCGTGAGGTCGGAGATCGGCCGCTGGAGGGTGGCCGCTCCACCCGTAGGCCTCCTGGGGCCTGCAGCCCCACTTCCCACCCTGAGCACCTCCCAGCGCAGCCCCTGGCCCAGGGCCCCCCGACACACCCAGGAGGAAGAGGGAGGCCCTGGAGGTTCCCGGGAAGGCAGAGGCGGGGCCGGGGCAGGTGTGTCACCTCCTGCCAAGGTGTGTGCTCACCTGCCCACCGAGGGCCGCCCGGGCCCAGGCAGGCCAGGAATGGTGACGTCAGTGTCCGGAAGCGACCCGGCACGCCCTCTCCCGGTCTTCCCTGCTCTAAATATAGGCCGCGAGAGACAGACGGTGACCTCCACCTGCCCGGCGGGCGTGGAAGGTGTTCCACCCCCTCCCGGCCCGGGTGCCCCACTGATGGTCCTCACTGCGCCGCCGGCCCCAGCCGTGGCCCAGCCCCGTGGAAGGGGGTCAGCTGAGGCCGGTCTGGCCCACCCCAGACCCACGCCCAGCGCAGAGGCAGAGCTGGCACCGGCTGCATTCAGGCCACCGTGCGGCACCTCGGGGCACCGCGGGTGGCTGGGTGCGGGTGGCTGGAAGGGAGGCAGCTGGGCCTGGAGGAGAGGGCGTGGCCTGGGGCTCCGGCACTGGGCGCCCTGGGCCAGCCTCGCTGGGCCTGGGCCAGCAGCCCTGGGGGCCAGTCGGCCCCCGCAAGTAGACGGTCTCTTGCCTGATAGCAGCTCTGAAGGATCCAAGACGCCTGTGGCTGCCGAGGGAGGGACCACAGGCGTGGAAAAGCGGGCAGGAAAAGAGGCCTTCCCTGACCCAAGGCGGCTCCCAGCCTGGGAGGCGGGAGGCGGGCGGTGGGAGAGGAGCCCAGCCCCACCGGCAGGGACAGCCGCCGGCAGGGCCAGGTCGCCGAGTTAGCGGAGAAGCCAGAGACTGGATCTTCCTGTGAAATCACCAGCGTGTCGTGGCTGGCTCAGAACTGTGAAATGGCTCCGAAGCCAGCTGACCGCACGCGAGGCCGCACCTGGCCGCCCGGCCTGGCTGGCTGCGCTGGTGCCGGAGCTGGGGCGTCCGGCCGCGT